GGGAGGGAGGGAGGGAGGGAGGAGTCTTGAACCTTGCTGCCTCTTTCCCAGCTTATGGAAGAGGAAGTTCCCATATCTGGAAAGTTCAGGTGACTCGTAGGCTCCTCTCACCAACCACCTGACCTGCAGATGATACTCGCGTTCTCCGAGCCCGACTGAGCATTGGGAGCAATGGCCGTTAGCAGTAGGAAGCACATGTAAGGAAAACAAGGTGTTGAATCATTGGGTTGCAAACAGTTCATGTCTGTGACAATGGCGTTGTGTAGCAGCAGGTCAATCATCGGCTGACTGTCTTTCTCCCTGTTTCCTACTTCTCGTTCAAGCTCCTAGCATGTCAACACAACATCTCTTGAGGTCTATCGGATAGAATCTAATGGCATCCCGTCACAACTAGGGGTCTTCCATAACATGGAGCGATGTCCTTCCAAGATAGCTATCATAAACATCTTCCACAACATCAACAAGTTTCCCACAGCGTCAAACCTCAATCAATCTTTCATACAGCTCTTCTGCAAGCTGAAGTTCCCCTAACCTCGTGTCAGCACACTCAAACAACCAACTTCAAGGAAACCCTGCGCCTCGGCTGCTACAGCATGTCGAAATGTCCTGTCGATCTGGACCAGACTGCGGTCACCGGACGCCTAAAAACCCCCTCTAGCCTCCTGACCTCGTCCTCGCTCATACTCTCCAATGGAGGAGCCAGGATTTTGTCCCACTAGAAGCAGGCTTGTCACTGGTCAAAGTCCTCGGTACAAGGTATTTGTTAACCTTGCTGTAGTCGAGAACGTCGCGTTTCTGTGATTGCTTTGTCTTGTTCTGGGAAGCTTCAACAGTCTTGCCCTTCGGATCTTCAACGCTCTTCTCCTGTGCTTTCTTCAACGCCTTTGCAAACTCGCAAGCACACAAGACCTCCTGGGGCTCAGCAAAGTCAAGATGTATGTTGCTTCTCAGTGGGAGGAGGCTTGGCTTGGGGGCTTTGGTGTCCAACCTGTGAAACAGTCACATGGTGAGGAGGGAGAGACGAGGGAGGGATGGGATGGAAAGGAGACAAACAGGAGTCGAGAGGAGCACGAGAAGAGGGGAAGTAGGAAGGAGGTGGGGGCAGGGTGGGAAGGGAGAAGGAGGGGGAGACTAGGGAGCGAAGGAAAGTGGAGGGGAGGAAGGAGCAGGAGCAGGAGATGGTGGGGGCAAGAGCATGCATAACAATCACCTTGACCGCATCCCACGCAGCCAATCCTTGGTAGGAAGGAGGAATTCCTCAACACTGGAGAACGGAACTTACTCAAGGCTAGTAGTCCTACACCGACCCAACCTCCGATTCTTCAATGCTGAGGATATGTTCTCTACTTTCTGGAGGAGGCAGATCATAACTTCCTAACAGTGGGCAAGGAACGTAGTCTTGTACCATGTTGTGCTCCGGCGGCTCAACACACATCCTGCAAGCCAACCCTTCAGCACCTGCCTTCCTCCTCCGTCTCATATTGCTTGACGTTCATCACCTGAAGGATTCGGCTCCTGCGGACTGGCTGGCACGCACGCCGACCAACGCGACGCAGCAGAAGACCAAGGAGGAGAACAAGCTGATCTTGGACCGCATGCTCCGATCAAAGTTTGTGCGTTCAACTCTCTTGCCGCAGTCTCATCTTGCAACGGAGCAGGGGCCAAGCACCAGGCAAGATGTCAATTTCAACATCTGAGTCTCACTCTCAGTTCGAAGAGCCTCACGTTCTTGCACGTGAGATGTATGTCATCTGTCAACTGATTCATCCGACTGGTTTGAATTCGAACTTGCCAACTTGCCAGGATTATACTGATCTCAGCTTGCTAAAGTGGAGCTTTGCTAGGTATCTAAGACCCAGAATCTTGTGGAGGAAGGTAAGAGACGGTACATGATTGTCATTCTCTTGCTGCAAATGTGCCATTTGATCCTATTTCTCCCTCCTCCTGCTCTGTTCTCCTCTTCTGTCCCTCGGCCTCCTTTCTCGCTCTCTGCCTCTTGTATCTCAGCATGTACCCCTGTCTCCGTCCTGTCTCTGTCCTGTCTCCGTCCTGTCTTCGTCTCTCTCCCTGTCCCTGTCGGTCACCTGCGGCTGCTGTTCATTCTCCCTCCCCCCCTCCCCATCCCTCCTCCTCTCCTCTCCTCTCCTCACTTGCCATGCTATCTCTAATAAATTCATGAGGCGTATCCTTCCCACTTCTACCACCCCTACCCCCCTTCACCGCCTGCTAATACCCCGGCTTTCCACTTCCCCTCCACCCCTACTACTCCAATACCCACCCCACCCCTTCATGCGAGCACAATCTTATTCCTATGATGGGTGGTGGGAGTGGCGAGTTCAATTAAAAAGTGGGGTGGGGTACTGATGTTGTGGGTAGGGATAATTGAACGAGTTTGTTGCATGGGGTAGTATGTGTCTGCGGGAGGGGTACTTTGATTTGGAATTGGGATGGAAGGGGGTGGGGGTAGCTGTGTCTTGATTGGGGTGAGGGTAGGGGTGGATCTTTCCCGCCAAATCGAAAGGAAAATGGCGGATACAGAGAAATTAGACGGGAAGGAGAATGAGAAAAATGAGAACGGGAGATAACAGGAGGAGGAGGAAGAGGAGGAGGGAGAGGAGGAGGAAGGAGAGGAGGAGGAGGAGGCAGCGATAGAAGGATAATAGTAACAGGAGGAAGAGTATGGCGAGGAACACAAGGATTGGAAAGTGAGGAGTTGAAGTGTAAATGGGAATTTGTGAAAGGATTGCTAAAGGATACAAATGGTCGAGCTATTCAAGTTCGTCTTTGTTATCAAATGGTTCGAAACATAGAGATCGAGTTGCAACTCTCCAACAGACTCACATTACACTGTCTTGCAAGTTCTTGACAGCCCTGCCAGAAATCCCTGAGACAAAACTTTCGAGCCTTTGATGCTCCAGGGAGAAACATCTTCGACGCCTGATGTGAGAAACGCTGGACAACCTTTGGACTCGAAGCTGATCATGGCTCTTAGACTGAGATGGCAGAATCAGCGATAACAGCGGAAGATGATAATGTGAAGGCATCTGACTCGGCGAAAACATGCTTGTTCAGCTCACGAATGTCGAACAGATGTCGGATATCCAAGCCGACAATTCCGATCAACAAGGAGGTGAGTCGACCTTGAACTTGCTCGTGCCTTGTCTGATGGTCGCCATTAGCGGCCGAGGAGGAAGAAACTGCCGACATGGAAAAGTTTCTTAGTACCTTGAAGATCGAGAGGTGTTGGAATGATCGCTGTCCTGTTTCTTGCTTTGAGATGAGACCTTACCGCAGCAAGTGCAAGGCGTACGACGCGAGGGACGGGAGATGGTATCAAGCTAAAGTTGTGAACATGGAAACCCAGGGTGGGGTCAAGAAAGTGGAAATCCACTTCCATAAATTTCCCAAAAAGTAAGACCATGTAACTCTGTTCTCCCCCCCTTACAAATGTTGTTCTCCCCTCCTTACAACGATGCAGATACGACGCCTGGGTGACTCTGGACTTGCTTCAACCCCCAGAGAAAGAAATCCTCCTCCCCAAATTGCCCCAGGTGGAAACGATCGAGGTCGTCGAGGTCCACTGCAAGTCGGTTCTCTTCAAGATCGAGTTTCCCAACGACCTCCAGGGCTTCATGTCGTTCCAAGTGATGGTGAACGACTCGCTGGACAACATGAAACTCCGTCCGAGACCTGACAACCTCTACCTGTACAAGGGTCTAGAGCCGCTCACCAAGTACACGTTCACCTTCAGAGCTGTGGGGAAGCAGAAGCAACAGTTGGGGGACTGGAGCCGTGAAGTCGTTGTGAAGACGAACGTTGCTGAATCTGTCAAGGAGGAGGAGGGGACGGCGCGGCAGGCCAAGGTCAAGGCCGAGCAGAAGGTGATGAAGAACCAGAACAAGGAAGAGAAGGACGAAAAAGACTTGGAGGAGAAGAAGTTGAAGCTATGCACAAGGAATCACGACTATCATTGCGATATCTGCCTTGGATGGGAGGGAACGCTGGTCTGCTGCGATGGTAGCTGCAGACGCAGCTTTCACCTGGCATGCCTTGGGATGGACGAGGAGGAGAATGACGAAGAGGAGGAATGGCTGTGCAATCTCTGCAAAGTGGGCGCAAAGAGGTGTATGATCTGCAGCGACTCTCAGGACAGTGAGAACATGATTCACTGCAAAGTCGAGTCTTGCAAGAAGTACTTCCACAGGGACTGTCTGAAGACGTGGAACTGTGAAGTTGACGCAGCAGGGAGGTTCACGTGCCCCCGCCACACCTGCAAAGCTTGCAACCAGGTGAGAGAACGATCGGTCACGCAGGCAACTCTTCTCACGGTTCTGCCAGAGCCAGCACAGCTACACGGGCAAGCAAGGAGTTATGTTCAAGTGCATAGACTGCCCGGCAGCGTTTCATTTCAAGTGCCTGCCTTCACAGGTGAACATGTCAAGGTGTGATCTGTAGCAGCGACGCTGAAGGGTTGAAAGGGGTACACGCTCTACCCGAACAACATCCCCAGATTCATCTGCAGTCGGTAATGTCATGATGGGTCAAAAGAGGTAAAGTTTGACCGTTCCACTCCAGAGAGCACCCAGCGCAAGAGAAGAGGTTCAAGGAGATTCATGTCAGGCTTGCCTGCAGGTCTGTAGAGTCATCAAAGGAGGTTGTTTTGTAGCCCTTGTCTTGATGATTCTCACAGAGACTGTGAAATCGTCGACGATTGGCCATCGGACCCCGTGAAGGATGAAGTATGCTGGAGAAAATCTCGTTCTTGTTCCCAACATATTCTTGACTCAATTTGTAGTCTTTCAAGTACATGCTGGATGCTGTCAAGTTTCTTATGCCAGAACATTTCAGGTGAACCTTACCTCGTGTGGACATGGTTCGATTGACTGTGAAATCATCTCGGTCTTTCAAGCATGAGATGTTATTTGACATGATGCCTTCTTTCATTCTCCTCAAAAAATGATGTACATGTTTGCGCAAAATTGAACGAGAATTGTACCATAACTTCATGCACCGCTTACAAACATGTTCACCATGAAATACTGATGAATGCCATTTTCTTGCCTTGCAGGCTGCCTGTCCGATTTGCAGAAGCAAGAAATTATGCTGGAAACAAACCTGCACCATTCCGGTAAAAAACGAGAATGGTCTTCATTGGCAATGACGACACATTCTAGTTTGTTGAAACGCAATCTCTACACGATGGGGAAGCCGAAGACGAACAAGGCAACAAAATGATGCCGTCTTCGATGCTTGTTCCTTACGAACGCATGTTCCTTATGCATACTATTCTCTTGGCTGTTGAAATCTCGTCTCGTTGTTTCGGAACTGATTCCTCCTTGTCTGCAGGAGCACATCACTGTTTGCTCGTGCAAGCTCAATGAAAAGTCGACGTCCAGCGCTCTCCCACAATCCCAGTTAGACCAGGTGCCTTCTAAAATCTACATCTCCTCCTATACGCTTCCTCAGCGCTTCAATCTTCTCATACAAAACTTCAGTTTTCCATGGGAACTTGCGGAGATCACTGCGAGAATCGTCTGACCCACTTCGAATGCCTCGCAAGGTCTGGTTGCTCCCTTCCCTCTCTGCCGCTGATGGAGTACCTCTAGTGTCTGCCACACTGACTGCGGCAACCAGCGACTTCAGAAGAGGATCTACCCTCGACTTGAACTCTTTAAGGTCCAAGAGGACCCTGCTCCAGTCCTGTCCTGTCCTTTCTTTTCTATTCCTTTACCTGCCCTGCCCTGCCCTGCCCTGCCCTGCCCTGCCCTGCCCTGCCCTGCCCTGCCCTGACCTGACCTGACCTGCCCTGACCTGACCTGCCCTGCCCTGTCTTGCACTGTCCTGCCCCATCTTGTGCTGTGCTGTGCTGTGCTGTGCTGTGCTGTGCTGTCCTGCCTGCCTGTCTGTCTGCCTCTGTCCCATACTCGCTCCCCCAAGTCAAGATTACCTTCCTCTCGATTCCTCTTCTGCTGTCTTGCGAGGGGAGACGTTCCGCGGTCACCACAAGTTGGATGATTGCTTTTCTTTCTCCCCGACATCAACCAACCCCTCACACTTTCGCTGAATCCTGCGGAGACTTTGAGCAAGGAGGAGCACGAGACCTCTTCTTTCCTCCTCCTCCTCCTTCCTCCTCCTCCTCGGCTCCTCCTGCTCGATGTGATGAGAGGGTTCTGTGCTGATCGGGTGCGGCAAGGGCCACAGGTCCTCGCGAGAGATTGATTGCCGTGTATGCGAGCATTTGAGCTCACCCAGCACAACATTTTATACTTGTCTTGTGTTGTCTTGTGTTGTCTTGTGTTGTCTTCTCTTGAGTCGGGTTGGGTTGAGTTTTACGTCATTCTTTTCTTCTACTCCTTGTTCTCCTGCTCCTGCAACGTTCTGCTCTCCATTCTTCCTCCACTTCCTTCCCGTCCTCGTCTTCCTCCCTCCTCTTTTCCTCTTCCTCCTCTCAATCTTACATGACCTTTCAGACCGATGGAAGAGGATGGGGACTGAAAGCGCTTGAAGATATTCCAAAAGGTGCTCTGGTGCAGGTCATTGTCAACAACGACTCTGTTTCATGCCTCAAAGAAAATCAGGAATACATCGGAGAAGTTGTAACCAAGGAAGACTTCAACCTCCGGACATCCCGTAACGCTGAAGAATATGATGATTATGGAGAATGTGGAGACAATTGAGATTTTAGTGGTGGTTGTGAAGAAGAAGAAAAGCTTGAACAAGATGAAGAAGGAAAAGGAGATGACAGAGATGTTCAAGATGATGATAGAGATGGAGATGATGGAGTTGAATATGAGTTGTAAGGAGACAGGCGCGATGATGCATGTTTGATGAAAAAGATCTCAGTTGTGCTTGACTTTCTATCTACAGGTTATGGTCCAAACACTCCAGTCTACTTCTTCAATCTCGACAATGATCTGGTTTGATTGCGTTTCATTGTCTGCTTCCTTCCCTTGCTCCTGTTGCTCCTCCTCCTCCCTCGCCTCCTCCCTCCCTCTCTCCCTCCCTCGCCTCCTCCCTCCCTCTCTCCCTCTCTCCCTCCCTCGCCTCTTCCCTCTCCTGTTCATCTTCTCTCCCCTCCAGTTTCCATCACTCGCCCAATCTCGTCTCATCGTCTCATGTTGCAACAAGGTCATTGACGCGTCTGCCATGGGCTCGATGGCGAGATTCATCAATCATTCTTGCAGCCCGTGAGTATTTCTTGTCATTTTGTTGTCTCACCTTATGGTTGGTTGTAGCAATTGCCACACGGAAAAATGGACAGTCGGGGCCGAAACTCGTATCGGCATCATGGCTTCTGATAATATTCCTAAAGGAGCAGAAGTAAGTCACTGAAAAGGGATGGTGGAGATGGAGATGGAGATGGAGATGGAGATGGAGATGGAGATGGAGATGGAGATGGAGATGGAGATGGAGATGGAGATGGAGATGGAGATGGAGATGGAGATGGAGATGGAGATGGAGATCGAAATGAAGATGATAGAGATCCAGATTGAAATGATGGAAATGATAGTGAAGGGGACAAATTGTTGTTGTTGTTGTTCTTGTAATCGTTGTTATTCTTGATTACTGTCTCAATCGAGCTTTCATCCTCCACTGAACATATTTGCAGGTCACGTACAACTATCAATTCGAATCTTTTGGCGGCATGAAGCACAAATGTCTCTGCGGAGCTCCGAACTGCAGCGGGTAATGCGATACTACATGATATGATATGATATGATATGATATGATATGATATGATATGATATGATATGAAACGATATGATACGATATGATATGATATGATATGATATGAGACTAGGTAGCATTTGAGTAGATGATGAGAGGAGGGGAGATGTGTTGTTACTTTATATGCTCTGAAGTGCCAAGTGACGTGTTGTTAGTACGTTGATAGCAACTCTTTGCTTTGCTCACGAGTTTGTTTTCAACAGATTTCTTGGGAAAAGGCCAAAGACAGCAAAAGAGCTCGAGATGGAGGTGAATTTTGATTTGTGCTGGTGACAGGACATTGACAGCTGGTTCGAAGAACATGCCGAACAAAAGATCAAAAGTGAAAGGAAAACACAACAAGGCTGCTACTGCTCCTGTTGCGCAAGAAGAAGGAGGAGAAGGAGAAGAAGAAGGAGAAGGAGAAGAAGCAGACTTGATCGGAAGGTTTACAACTTGAACACAGTGAAGAGGATCTGTCAATGGTTGAAACTTTTGCAACCAGAATGGTGGAGTACGATGATAGTGGAGAAACGAAACGAGCTAGGGTAATGAAGCCTGCGCAATCACTGTATCTTCACGTTCCCTGATTGTTGTGTCCTTCAGGTTCTCGATGTGAAGGATAAGTTTGCACTTGTTCTCTTGGACGACATCCGTCAGGTGAGCAGTGAGTTGTCAACAGCAATTACGTTGACGAAGGTTACAGCAAGTCTTGTTTGTCGAGATGGACCGGTTGAATCTCCTGGAAGGTGACTCGATTTGTCAAACTCTCAACGGTTCTTCAACGGACTGAGCGAGCGAGCAGCACAAGATGCCATGAAGCTTGAATCCTGCGAATCGCCCAAGGTTGAACTTTTGCCGTGGAATGAAAACCAGTTGTTGGATTTGTGTGCGATGCTGAAATTCTTGCGTTTCGTGTGAAAATTCTCACAATCTATTTGAAATCTGTCATGCCATCTTCATTTTCTGATACCTGAAAAGCAGCTAGACCAGAAAGACGTCAAAGTCGAGAATCGGAAATCGACTGGGAAGTCTTTCCACCCCCAGTGGAATATGAACAAAGTGAAGCTGCTCTGCTCCTCTCTTTTCTCTTCAGTCGCCTTGTCCCGGCCCCCCTCCTCTCCTCTCCTCTCCTCTCCTCTCCTCTCCCCTCCCCTCCCCTCCCCTCCCCTCCCCTCCCCTCCCCTCCTCCCCTCCCCTCCTCCCCTCCCCTCCTGCTCTGCCCTCTCCACCCTCTTCTTCACTTCCCCCATTATCTTTGATTGATTCGCACCTCAGGTCACAGACGACAAGTGCAAGCAGCTCCGGTATCTCATCGCATTCCCCTCTCCTCCAGTGCGAGTCCAGCTGACGCCGAGCTGGCAGCGAGCTGGCAGGAGGAACAAGAGCAAGATTGAGCATGAAAGATGAGATCTTGACGGGGGAAAAGTTTGAGTGAGATGAACTCTTATCTTCTCCTTTACTTCACTCCCGTTCCTTTC